CCACTCGGCCGGCCCCCAACACTTATTTATTAACTCACAGTTTTGTAGATCAGATGTGCAGCACTGTGTGCCTGTGTTTTCTGCTCTGAGTATTACAAGGCTGAAATCAACGTTTAGGCCAGGCTGAGTGCTTGTCTGGAGGCTCTGGGGAAAAACCGACTTCCAAATTTATTCTTGTTTAGTTTCTTACAGTTGTAGGACTGACATGCCTTGGTTTCCTGCTGGCTGTCAGCCAGGGGGTGCCTCAGGGTTTTGCCCTGTGGCCCCTCCATGTCAGCACTGAAGAATCTCCCTAATATCAAATCCCTCTCATGCGTTGAATCTCTCTGACTCTTCTGTGATCAGTTGGAGAAAACTCTTTGCTTTTAAGTGGTTCATGTGATCAGATCAGAGCCATCCTGATAATCTCCTATTTTAAATACAACTAATTAGGAACTAATTACATCTGTAAAAGTCTTTTTGCAGCAATGACTGTATTAGCATTTAAGACCTGAGAATTTTGGGGCCATCCTAGAATGCTGCCTACTATAGTAACTTTGGTCTAGATTTCTAGGAGTGGAATAACTGGGCTGAAAGGTGAAGTCACATGTAATTTTGGCATATGAGGTGTGATCACAAAATACAGTGAATGTTTAAATAAAAAAAATATTACAGTAAAAGAAACATTGCCATGAATCCCCCTCAAAATACTCCCCCTCACTTTGAACACACTTATCCCGTCGTTCTTGCCACTTTCTGAAGCAGTTCTGGAAGGCCTCTTTCATGAGTGTCTTTAGTTGCACTGTTGTGGCTGCCTCGATGTCCTGAATCAATTCAAAACATTTACCTTCCATGGTCATTTTGATTTTGAGGAAGAGCCAGAANCTCTTTTTTTTCCAGTCTCAACCTCTAATTTATCCTCACACTAGTTTATCATCATAGTGGTCCTTTGAAAATGAAAACCAAAGGACACACACACACACACACACACACACACACACACACACGCAGAAAACCAGATGTAGTCATTGTGTTGTTTATAAAGTCTTTGCTGATTTCCCTTTGTCTCCACACATAGTCCATATTCCTTTCTATGGCAGTCAGCTTCTCCTTATTTTTCAGGGTGCTGTTTCATTCTCCTCTTACAGTCTACTCTCTAATCTCCAGGGTCTTTGGACAAGTTTTTTTCTTTAGGGTCTGGATGGCATGTAACCTATTTTTGCTTAGATAGCACCTCCTCATTCTTCAGGACTTACTCATGCTTTACCCCTTCTGTGAAGTCTTCTCTGTGCGTCTTTGGTCATGTTTCTAGTGGGTTCCTCTTATACTCTCATAGCACCTTGTCCATGAATAAAGCATATGTCACATTATTTTATAATTATTTTTGTATTGTCTCTTCTAATAGACTGTAAGATCCATGAGGAGAAGAACTGTGTCTTATTTGCCTTTTGCCCTGAATTAATGAATTGGGTCCTTCTTAGGCTTTGTTCAAAAGGATTTAATTCAATAATTTTATTTTATTTGGGAGTCAGATGATGGCACGAATGCTAGGAAGTGATACTGAAGAATTGTGTTCACTCACGCGCATATGCATACACATGTGTGGGCTTTATTTGGTGGACATTTTCAAACTTACATTACATAAAAATAGTATAATGAACTCTCTCTCCATTACTAAGCTTCAGCTTATCAGCATTCTATCAGTGTTCTTCCATCTATTCCCCAACCATTTTCATTTTCTCTCCTTTACTCCAGTTTTTTTTTTTCTTTTTTTTTTTTCTGGAGACTTGTAAAGCATTTTTTTGGCATTACGTCAACTCATCTGTAAATAATTTATCTCTAACTTATAAGGACTTCTTTGGGTTTTATTTTGATTTGAATTACCACCCTATAAATCATAGTAGCTTTATCATATCTAAAATATCAGCTATAACCCCTTAATACTATTTAATATGTCATCTATGTGGACGTTTCCTTTGATGTATTAAAGATATCCTTTTTTTTCAGTCGGTCAAGTCATGATCCAAACAAGGTTCACATGATGCATCCAGCCAGTATGTCTTTTAAATCTCTTTTTATTCTAAAACAGTTCTCCCTCTTTGTTTTCATGCCATTGATTTTTTTGGAGAAACTGTGTTGTTTGTCCTGGGTTACATTGACATTGTTTCATTAGGAGGTGTGAAATGGTGAGTCTAGTTCTGTCATTCTTTTTGTATTTAACTGGAGTTATTTAATAAAGGAAACCCTGAAATATAGTTCTTTCAGCAATGGCAAAGTAAATGCTTGACTCGTTTTGTTATTTTAATACATTTTCAGAGCAATGAATTGATGGTTTATTATATCCAAAAGAGAGCTTTGATTATTGTCAGTATAACTTCTAGTTTTTATATGTATATGTTTCAGTCCAATGCAGTCATTATTGCTTTTGACAATCAAGTTATTCCTTCTTTGACTATGGAGTCTTTTTGACATGTACTTATTAGTTTTTGATATTTTGATTTATGCTTTCTTACATACGATGTTCCAATTCTATACATTTTCTGGCTCAGGCCTGGAATCAGCCATCTTCAACTAGTCCTTGTTCTTTTTAGTAAAAAGTGGTATTTAGAAACTATAACCAGGGTACTAGGAATATTTACTGTTTAGGGCTGTCATTACTAATAGTCCTTTCAGTGGACAGCCAAGGGAAAAAATGGTTTTTTGGTGTGTTTTTTTTTAAGAGAAAAATTAATCATAAGCCTATATTGATATTTTTTATTACTTGCTTGTATATTTTTCTTTTTCACTGAAAAACTTGATTCCTAATGCATGATCAAAATTACTCATTTTATTGTATAATTTACATATAATAGTTTCAAAATAAGATTAGTNAATTAGCTTAATTGGAAAGCCTTCTAGATAAAAATGATGTGGCCAACTTTTGGATGTTTATGAAGTAAAATAATGAGTATGTGAGAGGGCGGGAGGAGCGTGTTAGTAGATAAGGAAAGTTTGTATATGTGGCAGTCACTTGAAGGAGAAGAGGCCACAGGCAGCTTTAATGACTGAAGTTGTGACTTCATGCTGAGGAATAATGGGAAATGAGGCTTTTGAGACTGAAGGAGAAGAAAGGTGACAATTAGTAAAGTGCCTTGAAAGTCATGCTAAGGAGTTTAAATGGGAAACCGCTGCCTGCTTTTGCACAGGGGAGCCAAAAAATGAGATGTGCCTGAGAAAAATAATCAAGTTGCTTTTAATAAGACAAATGAGATTTGGAACTTAAAAATTTCATGGAGAGAGTACCCTGGTAAGATTGCACCAGAGAATGAGTTGGTTTTGATAGGAAAAGCCATGGCTTTAAAATTCAACTGTAATTACATTAGTTGTATTTACAGTGAATGTGGTTAAAGGATAAAGATGGACTTGTGACCTAAATGAAGAATATATAGAGTTTATCATCTTGCTCCAGAGCCCCTAACTATTATTCCCTTATATTTTCTTGCACATAAGGTATAACAAATGCAAAGAAAGAAATGGATCGTTTCATTTTTTTCTCAGAACCAAACATTTTACATATATTAAAACATTTTGCAACACTCAAGTATGTTCTGTTTCAATTGTTATTATACATTGTCAACACATAGATTATTGTTAATATTAACTATTTTGTACTTATCATATATGTATGTGTTTCACATTTACGTAGATTAATTAGGCTTATTTAAAAAATTAACCCTGGCAGTCATACTGCTATAAAACTTTACATTAATGATTCTTCCATGGATGTGGTTGAAAAAGTGGACCATTTAAATGACTGTGTTTTCTTTCTTTCCCCCTAGTCTTTTCTAGCACTGGTGAACTTGCTATCCTATCCTGCTGTTTATGAGCTGGTAGGCAATCAAGATCTTCCTAATAAAGCAGAGTATTCTCTTCGTGAAGTCCCAACGTGTGTTATCGTAAGTCATTTTCCTTTTCTCTTTTATTAATGATACTTTTTGAGATTTGCAGTAAAAATGCTATTTAACGGAAAAAAAAAGAACACTATTTAATGGCATTTAAAGGCTGATTTATTTACCCATGGACTATCAGCTTCTGAATTATCTGTGTATGGAATCGTTGGTTCAGGCCACTGAATAGTTGCAACACCTATCAGCATGAATACAAGGTTAACACTCCCCAGCAAGGAAAGAGATTTGGCACAAATACAAGTATGATAGAAGTATGTGTATGATTTTTAGATGACTTACTATGTTATTAGTCATACCAGTGCTGTTTACTTACTGGCAAGGATAATTAGGAATAAACTGTATTCAAAGAGCCTAATACATTTTCTCCCTATGTTTTAATGAACTGCATATTACTTCCCCATGAGGGCAGTATATACATGTTTATTTAGTTTGAGACTTACTTCATAGTCATACTCCCTGATGGGTAACTTGTTTTTAATCCAGAAATATTTAGTTCCTCATCTTTGGATACATTTATGAATTAAACACACATAAATACGTATATAGATAGATAGATAGATAGATAGATAGATAGATAGATAGATANTGAAGGATTTTAAAGCAGTTATTAATCAGTAGACTGTAAAAGAAAATATGCTTGTAATGAATGAGCAAATTAGGAATCATAGTAGAGAAGTGTGAACTGTATAAAAGAGTCAGATAGAAATTCTAAAACTAAATATTTTATTTTCTGAAATAATTTTGTAGATGATCTTAATGGAAGATTTAAAGATGACGGAAGAAATAGTCAATAAACTTCAGATCAATATAAACTATACAATCGAAAGAGCAGAGAGAAAAAAATTAGGGAAAACTTCTGTGATTTGTGAGATCTTATCAGGAGGTTTAGTATGTGTGATTGGAATACCAGAAATACAGGAGAGACTTGAGCAGAAAACTATTTGAATAAAGCTGAAAAATTCTTGTCTTGGTGTAGAATTAACCCCTGGTCGTTCACAGAATGTAAAAGCATTTATGAGACTCTACAAGAATATCCAGAGAAAAGATTTGTTGAAAGTTAAAAAGGGAGAGAGAGAGAGCGAGTTCTTTTTGGAACTGGCAGAAGTTTTGCCAGGACAGTCTGAGAGGGAGAGCTGCGGAGACAGAGGGGTAAGAGAGAGATACTATAGGAGTTGTGCCAGGGCAGAGTCCGATGGGGGACAGCTCCCCTAATGAGAAGGAGTGTTGGGGTTTTATATTTTTCTAAGCAGGATGTAAGGTGCTTGTCAGCTTGCAGGGGGGCTGCTGTTACAATTGTCTTCCAGGAACTGTCCTGGGATTCATTGTTTCTTGATTTATAAATTTATACCTTTTGATAAATTCAGAATTGATGAGACAAGTAAAGAGTTAATGGGAGTGGGCTTGTGAGCTGGTAGGATGGGACAGGCAAAGAGTTAACAGGAGCGAGCTTGTGGGCTAACAGGAGCGAGCTTAAACATTAACCACTTGGCTCTGACTCCCCTGGCCAGCCCTGCACCTGCAGGCTGACAAGCACCTTACATCCATCATAGGTGGGAACAAAACAGTTCCCAATCGCAATGGCAACACCCTACAAACTAACAGTCACCCATAATAGATGGGAACAGAATGGTTCCCAATCGCAACGGCAACTCCCTGCAAGCTGACATCCATCATAGATGGGAACTAAAATTCAGCCTGTCAATTAGAGTTTGGGTTTAGCCATATCAACTACTAAATTTGAATTAGCACAAACAAAAAACTTGCCTTTGAATCACTTTCTGATTACTCTAACACTTTAAAAATGCATCTCTGGTATAATAGGTATAACTGATATCTTTGTCATTTTTAGAACTTCCAAATCCCATTTTTTTTCTCCCAATTTTGTCTACCCTTGAAGCCATTTTCCTTCATAGGATTTTATCTAAAATGTAAAATATAATTCCCATTACTTTTCTGAAAACACTTCATTAGTTCCTTCTTTTGCCTAGGATAAAAGTAGAGGTCATTCACATAGCACATCTCCTCCTGCCTACCTGCCTGCTACCTGTGCAGGCAGCCATGTCCCCCACGTCTCCCTGCTTTACTGGGTAGTGTCATTCCCCCAGTGTCCTCCCACTATTCTCTATAGTACAATACCAGCAGGTCATCCGGGCACTATTTTAAATCCTCCAATAGTGTATTTGTCCTGTACTACACTGTGAGTCCTGAGGACAGCGACCATTTTTTCATTCCTATTTTTATGCTTAGCATCAGGCACCATTGCTGATAAGCAACTAACATTAAAACATTTGGAATGAATAAATAAGTGAATGAATTGTTATTGTCATCCTGAAGGGTTTTTAATTCATATGACAAATTCTTGCCTTTAGTTTTAATTTCATGCTGTAGTCTTCAAATCTATCAAACATTTGACCTTCCATAATTTTCGTATCATTACTACACGGAGCCCCCTTATTTTCTTGAAAATATTGATGAAATAGAATAAGTTTTATGCTAATATACATTTTAGGATAACTAGTATCTGATATTAGTAACATCTTAGGTTATTTTTGTGGGAACCAATGATTACATTGTGAATATTTTCTTGCGTTTTAGACTTGCTTAACACACAATTTTGCAGTATGCTAATGTCTTTTAAAAATGCTCAATGTGTGAGACGTGGATTTGTTTCTCCTAGAAACAAGCTGCTAAAAACTTAAGTTTCTTTAAAATTTTGTTTAGGTTGTTTTAGTTCAAATACAATTACTGAATTGTTTTCACTGGAGTTTTATATAATTTTAGAGTAGCATATCAGAAGTTATGATCT